AAAATGAAACAAGTTTTAAAGAGTTATTGCGAGTATCTTGTCATTTTTCATGTTTTTTTTTGGAAATTGCTGGAAATCCGTGGATCTGATTGAAGTGAAAAATATACCGTCTTTCAGTTTAATCATCATTGCATCGTGTAAGCGGCATTTCAAATTTTTCGGTAAAATTCTGTAAATTTTCGCAAATCTACCAAGAACGTAAGACAATTCTTAGATGACGATGAAACATTATGAGACATCGGGAGATATTGAATAACAATAAAACTCAAAGACCGTATATTTTTTCACGTAATTATATAATTATTGACAATGGGTGATTGAATGAAAAATAGTGGAACTCACGGTTGAAAAGCTGCCCTCGCCAATGACCTTCCCAAAGATGAAATCCTTAGCTGTGCGCTTATGCGTTGGTAATGCCGTTGTGGTAGTAGCAGTGGTAATTCCAGTATTTGGTGATGATGGTAAACGTGGTGTCATGGTATTTTGATTAGCCACAACACCGTTTGTCATGTCATTAGTGGGTGGAGACATTTTTGACACCGGCTCCTCCACCGTCACTGCCGGCTGTGGCGAAACGGTAAGCGCCTGGTTCGCCACACGCTGCAACAAAAAAAATAATAAACCTCTAATTATTTCCCCCGAATTATAGCCAATTAAACCATATCCCTCAATATCTGTTGGTCTTTCCAAAAAATAACAATAAGCAAAAGTCGATCTTATATTCATGTTTTGATTAGGCTTGAATTTAATAAATATTTTTATTGACAGTAATTCTGACAAGTGGATTTTTGAGACCAAATAAAAACGAATGAATAGGCTCTATTGAAGGCACGTCAAAAAGAAGCGGATGTGTCTTCCAAGCCGAGATCAATTAGAAAAGAATAAGACACAAAATATTCACTTATTTAACTGTTTTTTTAGTTATTCAGTATAACGCCATTTTCAATAATATCTGGCGCAAATATTTGTGCAACTGCCAGAGGAGCCTAATCAAATAGGCGTCTTGGAAATTATCATCACCATTACCCCCACCGTCTCCAGATAATAAAATTATCATAACATTATAAATAAAATTCATTACCAAACTGTGCAGTAATCGAATTTGTTTATTTATGGAATGTTTTGTGAAACTTATTGAGAGTTTGGATTGCATTTTTACGAGGGTTATCGCTTGTGTGAACTCAATGATCACGAGGAGCAAACGTGATTGCTCTTGCTTCCGGTTGTGTACGAATTGAAATACAATCGGTGTATTTCAACAGTTATGAACATGCATGTACGGTCTTATCACAAATTTAAGGGGGGAGAGAAATTATACAAGGATGGGAAACAAATTGGTATTAAAACATCGAGATTTTGTTGTTTTTTAATCGTTATTGCGACTCGGCAACAGCAATTTGGCATTGAAAAAGCCTGAAACTCAATAAATTATCCATTTGCTTCCATGCTTGATAATCTTCAGCATCAATTATTTTCCCTGTTTATCTACATGTACAGCCATACATGTAAAACAACAAAAATTCCAAGAGAAATAACCGTTAGTAAGATTGATTGTCCTGACGTACAATGGCGTTAATGTTTATTTTGTCAGATTCAAAAGGTAGAATGATTATTTTCATGTATTACTACATTCCAGACAGAGTGAAGGCCACGATTCAGCCAATAGTCATAGTTAACCATGCGTTCCAGGACAATGACCTCAGAGTCAACCGTTTAACCAGAGACTTGGGCTTTTCTACTCCATGGGCGCTATTATTTGCTTTCGTTATCATTCACATAATTTCCCAGGTAAATGAAGACATAATAAACCCGCAAAGATGATAATAAAACTGACTTTAACGTACTATTCGTCAAATATGTGAAATGTCAAGATACCATTAGCGGATTATTTTTCAAACTATAAAATTTCCACAATATTTCAATTAAAATGCCATTTCTCTCAGGGATATCGAGAAAATAGAAATCAATAAAGTGGAAAAGTTTACATATCTCTCAACTTTTATTTTGCCTCCATCGGTTTTATTTTTCCGTGACATTCCGCATAAAATGCACTCAACAACTTTGACATTTTCATTGAATCAGAAAGCTCCGTGAATATTACTGCTCCACGTTAACATCTATAATACATTGCCCTATTCCCGTGTACATGAAACAAGCCAACATTCCAAACGGCCATTCTAATTTTAGAATCTCTCATGTATCTCTTTTTACCTTCCCCCACTCGTATCTCTCGCAAGTTGCTCTTTCCATTTCCTTCGTTACAATGTTGTCTTTTTTTCTCTCTCCCTCTTTATTTTCCCTCCACAGCTACATTCCAAAGCCAACGGGGCTTTTACTTGTTATTTATACCTTATGGGCATTATTATTACTGCAGTATTGGTCAAACACAATATGCGCGCGCACTGTTGGCTTACGATCTGAGAGGTGTACTTTTACCCGGTGAATGAGATGTTTTGCATTCGCAGACGATGAAACATGCATTGAAGGGGCTCCCTCTCTACTTTTAAAACTCCCGCCTGTCGCGATGAGCTAAATTGGAACGCGCGCAGCGAGCACTTTCCAATTCTCATTCTTTCGCTCATTAATCTCGTTCATTTTCGTTTTTTTTTCTTTTCATTTTTGCCGGTATTAACCAGCGCTTATTCAATAAGACTTGCCGATTTTTCTATTACAAATGCGATGGGGCAAATCGGGTAAATTCGGCACCCTCATTCCAACTCCAATCACTAATTTTTTATCATTCTCTTGACCGAATATCCCGAAATCAAGAGCAGTTGTTAAACTTGACGGATATCTCATTTTCACTTTTGATTTTTCTCTGTGAGAGACAAAGACTATTTTATAATCACCTCCAGATGCCAAGATATCTATCAGAAATGTATCCTCAAGTTCAACTAAGTCTTCTCGTTTTACTTTATTTATCATTCAGACTATCCGTATATTATGGAGTTGCAAATGTAATATCAAATGCATTACCATCCCATTTTACTTATTTTTTCCGAATTTCTTATTGTTGTCCGTCTTTTTTTCATTTTTATAGCGCATTTTACATTTTTTCAGATCTTCATCAATTTTATTTGCAGTTTTTTAGGGATGAATTTCAATTTACTTGGGAGGTATTGAAGTGGTCATACAGGGAATATTGAACAAGGCCGATAAACAAGCGTCTGTCGGTATGTACGGTGACTGTTGTTGATGTAAACTTTAATTTCCGGGCGTAGTTCCATCGATCCGATGGCTTTTCTGTCGAGGCGAGGGGAAGAAGAGAAAGACTGATACAAACATACTGAGGTTGCACATGCGTTCATTGATTTTTTTTTCTCAGTTTATTAAACTTGAAATCTCCGGACCTGCATGTGTTATTTAGCCAGATACACAGGATTCTCAAGGCAATGCAATGAACAAATGATTATCGACTACTGTTGGATTTTTTTTCACAATACTTGGAAAATTATTATGAGAAAAAAAATCATGCAGAGGCGATCGATTTAATGTCCAGGTTTCTCTGAATTTCTACACTATTTTTACTAGTAATGCTTTATTTTATTCCTGGAGACTTTCGTTGTCAACAAAAAGGGGCTTGGAGTACTCATAGTAAACAACTTTCAATTCTGTCTCGGGACCTGGCATTACACATGTTTACAACAGCCAACTTGGCAGCGAGCATTTAAAATTATTCAAAATATTTAGCTCCGTCATTAAATGCGAGACATTAAATCAATTAAACATGCAAATCAGATGAAATGTATGGCAGCCTTAAAGTTTTCTTATTCATCTATAAAACGCTCAATGAAAAAACCAATACCTAACATTTCCTCACTTCCCCACAAAATTAATCCATTTGTTTATCTTACCTTGAATAATTTTTTGAGCCTACGGTAGCCGCGATGCAATCGCGACACGTATTGCTTGTTGGAATCCAGTTTGAATGTTTAGAGCCACTTTTGATGAAGAAAACAAAATCCGAAATATTGAAAACTGGCAAATGAAATGTTGGTGTTGTTGTTTTTTTGTTTCTCTGTACTGATGACGGTTATTCAACTGGTAACTCTCAAAATATAAATTTAGGGCAACTGTGTTGTGTCCAATTAGATGTTTGATATTGGACGGAGGATTTTTAATAGAGGGAATTGGCGAAAATAAAAAAGCACATCCGTGGAGTTTGAGAGCCGCTCGCTTACTGAGTTTAGACGGGCGGCGTCCGAGAACTCCAAGAGATTCCGGCTTACCCGCGCTTTGCTCACACATCCCCACTCCCAAAACCATTCTCCATTTCTGTTGGCTCTCAAAAGCCCCCACCTGCTATTGCTTTATACCGTCTGGAATTCTATATCCCATCCGCACTGATATTTCAACGGACTCAGAGGCTGCCCCCGCATGACTCTCACCACCGCTATTTGCCCACGCGTCCACACGCGCTTTTTCAATCTCCCAACTATATTAACTATTTTCTTATTCACTCACACATTTCACTATATTATCTCACATGGGCCACTAAACTCTTCTTCCTTTAAATTCCAATAAAAATAAAATAAAAATGGATAACGAAATAAGCCTATTTTTTTTATTTATCATGGAATTTATAAAAATATTTACAGCTCTGGTACTATAGTTAATACTTTTATCCTCCGATTATCCCGTATTTTTCGGCCATTCCCCCAAATAATTATGTCACTAACTCTTTAATCTTTTCTTCTCATAAATTGTAGCTCCCAATTTACACAGCGGGTGTATTGAATATTTCAAATCCGAGAGTTCCGCAAATCTGGCAACGAGGTTGGCAAAGTCACGTGTAAATGATATCAACAGACAGTTGTGTTAATTCTTTCGCACATCATCGTACTTCTCCCAAAAATACTACGAGACCCCTTAAACATATTCAAGTACATCCTGTAGCTCTTCCGGACCCCATGTGCTACATTTCCCTTTTCAAAAAGACAGTTCTCCGAAATATCTTCGTCACCCAATATTCATACTCAAATATCTTCATTACCAAAACTACAAAACATTTAATTACTCCATCACATGATCTCGCGATTTTTTAAGAACATTTTTTTTATTTTTGGCGAAGTGATATAATTATTTATTTTCAATTCCATATATAGCCCACTAACCTTTTTACATATTAGGTTTTGGTAGCAGTAACACAACAAATGATAAATATATTAAAAAAAATAACAATGCTTGAAATTGAAATTTGAATTTTGGCTTGATAGCTGAAAGATCAGAATTTCTTGGATAATCGGCTAATTCAAGAGCTTAATCAATTACCAGAATTCTACCGACGAAGTGATTTATTTTATTTGAATTAAGATGATAATATAATGGAGTACGCGATATTGACGTACCCTATTTATTATCACGACTAATTGCGATTGACAATTAACACAAAAACCACAAATAACTTTTCGAAACCCACCAGATAATAACATCCCTGCCATTGCATTCTCTGCCCAACCTACATTTGGCCCGAATTTTGTGCCAATAATAAATTCCCCTGACAATTATACTTTGCAATTAAATTAATTATTACTATTAATGACTTGCACTTGTAAAAAATTAATTGTTCTTAAAACAGAGGGTAAGATGAGTAGAAGGTACAATTTAAAATAGAAATAAAGTAAAAAATATTTTTTTATTCATATTGAAAAGAGATTTAGTGGGGATGAAGGTTGTAGTGGGGATTATTGTAAGAGTGAATGCGCACGCAGATGAGACATGGAGAAAAATGAAGAGTGGGGCGCAGGGGGTGGGGCGGGTGGGGGGTAAGGAAGCGGGAAAGGGAATTCCAGCGACGGCGCCAGGAGTCTCCAACCACACAACCTTGCGGCAACATACACAACCGCAGCAACACTGGCAATACACTGTAAATGGCTCGAGATCCCTGTACAGAGCTCTTACACTCACCAATACATCGGCAACCTCAGTCTTTGGCCTCTCTTCACGGTTAGGTGTGTTTGTTTGTTTATAAGCGCATTCTGGGAAATACCCGATACAAGTAACGGACTTCGCCGGAGAGACTTGCATTGCATTCCCATTCTAGTGTTGCATCCGGTCGGTTCTTCGATATGCTTTATTTATTTATTTTTTTCTCTCTTTTTCGCCATTGGTTTTAGGTGGAAATCACATACAAATATTTGAGTTTCTATTGAATTTACCTTTATTTCCACTATTTATCTATCAATGAAATTCCTGGAAGACTATTCTGGGAACGGAAAATTAAATAAATATTCAAATACTCCGACTTGCGCACATGAATGTGTAAATAATACATTATGTAATCGGAAAATAAAGAATGAACGGGGTTTTTGCATTTTGCCGTTTGATTATAGAATTCGTGGAAGGAAAAATTGCCATTCTCTAATTGCTCCTATAGGTTTTTATTTTTACCGAAAAATACCAATGATTATTGCGACATTTGACATTCATGGTATTTTGAAATCTGGTCGTTGATAACGCTGTGTTTAATCTATCTGTTTAAAAATCTGCGCAATTTGCGATCGCAAATTGCGGAATTATCACTCTTTCCATATTTTTTTAATAAAATCAACAATTCGAGCGACAATTTCATTTTGCAAATTTTTGACAACTTGGAATTGGTAATGAGGATAAGATCGAATGATTGATGACTGAGATATTCCATTCCTGATGAATGAAAAGTAAATACGCGATTTTAGGTATGTCACTCCTCATCAGACGTTCTATTCGATTATATAATTATGTAGTAAATTCTATTACGATACAAATTTGAAAGACAATTCTTGTTAACTTTGAATGTAAACACCGATTTTCCTTAGTTTCACGTGAAGGATTCGTGCTCGAAATCATTGGTTCTCGAAATAATAGCTTTAGTGCTCCACTCCTGATCATTTTCCCCTATCTTGTTTACAACTACTGTACTATCCGTGTATGACACGTTGATATCTATATACACTCTCCTACTCCTTCACTCGCATTTTTTTCCGAGTCACCATGACGATCTGCGTGGTACGGGCAATGATTTCGTGGAATTGTGTGCGACAAAGTCCAAACGCCTTGCAACAAATGAATATAAGTTGCTGTCGAATGATCACGATCTCACGATCAGGGGCATTAAACGTGCATGTCTCTCTTTAACGTGCGAACAAATTAATTCATCAAAATAAAACTGAAATTTATACATTGTAGAGTCCAAATGCAAATTCACGGAGTTTATCTAGTCCTAAATCAGGTTCAGGTCCAATGTTGTTTATAATTCTCTGATTGGAATTCGTGGATGAGGATTTAATCAATTTTAGAACAGGTATCTAAGTCCTGAATGTGTAGCTCAGCTTTTTCTGAGATCGTGCTGATCAGTCAAATTATGCGAATTAGTCTGATCATACCTGGTCGGGTTCTGCACTGCCTGATCTCAATCCTCGAACGGTATGATTAGCAATTTTTGAGCAATTGAGATGTCAACTTAGACCAGATACTGATGAGTATCAGCACTGAATGAAAAAAATAGAATGTTAGTATTTTAATAAGATATAATTGAAACAAGGATTAAAGAACTGATTAAAAACTGATCAGTCTCTTATCTAAAAATTGGATTTCCATGCCGGGGTGCCCCGAGAAGAAGTTCAACCGATTTATCTAGATCGAAATCATTTTGAGATCCAATCGTGTCGAGGAACTCGGATTCGCATTTACATGTCTGAATCCGGCAGAGCTCAGTTATTTCGGATCCCATTTTAATCAGTTATAACTTGCAAAATACCCTGACTGTTTCTGTTCAGGTTCAGATCTGACCTATTCAACCTCGATCCTGATAAAGTATGATAAAGAGCTTTTATCTGTTCAGGATTCAACCTAGATCAAGCACTGACCACAGAAATTCCATCACAAACTCAGACTTCATCACGCATTCAAAGAAATATCAACAAATCCATTAAAAAGTAATCAAGTTTTTATGAAAAAAAAAATTAATTCGAACTTCATTGAGTTCATCTAGATTTGAATGATCTTGAGATACAATCCCGTTCAGAATGTACTGATCAGAATTCCTACATAAGGACCTAATCAGATAGTCAGGCAGCAGGATATCTGAGTCTGGCATAACTCGAATCTAAAATGCTCAACCTCAATTCTGATAGAGTATGTTAACATAGTTTTAATGAATTTAGGATTCAAGTTAAATCAACTACTGTTCAGGCCAGAACGATTGCATCACAGAATAATCCTGGATTTTTGACCCAATATTGCTCAAACAATTGGTGCTAGTATTTTGATCAGGCATGGATCCACACAAAAGGTGATGAAGTAACTCAAAACTAATCAGGCTCATGTTTAACACATCAGTTCCTTATTAAAAAATAATTTGAATTTTCATTGGGAAATCTAAAACGTCCTGTCAGTGTGATGATTATGGGAATGGGTTTGTACTGCGAGCTTGAGCACGGATGTCGAGTCGATTAGCAATTAGTTCACTCTTAGGGACTTCCTTCCCGCGATTCAAATAATTACCGGACGTACAATGACGGCATAGTGTGCCTGATGATATACAAACTGTAAAACATCCACTGTCATCCACATTGTTGCATTGCCATAACGTTAAAAATATTGTTAACGTTTGAGTGGAGATTGCTCAGGCACATAACGAACATGTGCATAAAGCGTTGAATGGATTATACTTAATAGTTCGATTTTTATTCATTAAATGGGCTCTCCATAATATAGAAATGTAAATTTAAAATTTTGTCTCCTCGAGGCTTCTTTTCTAATTTAATATTTCCACTTCATTGACGTCAGAACTGGCGTTGTCTTGTTTACGCTTGAAAAATATTGTTCAGATGTAATGTTCAGTCGTTATTTTTCTAATCATCAAGGCCGGTTAGACTATTTATCTGTCAATGAAACAAAAATTCCGAATCTAATACTTGAATACAATATTAATCGAGCTATATTTACAAATTGGCATGGACCAAAGAAAATTTTGGCCTCGGCAGTTCAAAGCGCAAACTCGTGATACCCTTTTTTTAATTCAATCGTGCACCTCGTAGTGTCGACTCATCACGAGTTTCGGATCTCTTCAGACAGAACAGACCAGAATTTTCTATATTTAATACTGAAAATTGCCGACTAAGACATTCCGAAATTCGTAAATAAATATTTCATTTTTTGTCGGAAAAGTGCAGAGTGAATTAGAATTACACGTCATGTGAATTCTTTCGATTTTTTTTTTCTCGTAGACATACATTCTCAGTTATTTATCAATGGAATGTTCGGATTGCAGTATCGAGTGTTTGTATATAAACGGGAAATGTACTTTTCCCTCGAATGTTGCTGATTGCTTTCTTTTTTTTCCTTTCTGAATTCATTGGAGGGAAAGAGAAGAGTCCATTCTCCAACGAGCATTAAAAATCCACGATACATTCTTATCGTTATCAACGGGGTGATGAGACCTTCCCACAATTATTGTAGATACTTGAATGATTTGTTTTATTAGTCTATGTAATACTACTTATCGGATGTTTTGGTAAGAATCTGTACGAACCAGTTGTTTCCTTTTTTATTTTCTCTGTTGTTGGAATAAAATAGTTTTCGGCGCCAAGTATTCGTACGTCGGCACAATGTCAATAACATCGTTATCAATTTCTCGATATGAAGAAAAATAGTCATGAAAATAAATTCTCATATTAACCTTTTTCAGCTGCAACGTTCCTAGTTTTGTGATAGCCGAGCAAATTCCAAGGGAAGCATGACATTTCAAATGTTTTTGCAATATAAACAGTTGTACGTATTTACGAATTAATAATCAATTGTCGTAAAAATGAGTAGAAACACTTTCATCAACACTTCTTATTTTTTTCCACTTGACTTGGACGTGAATGTCTCCACTTGCTAATTTTTACAATGAATAATGATTAGTGATACGTCAATCATTAATCGACATATTTTTTTATGTAATCTCTTCGACTACAAAAGGCTTCTTTCAATTTTTAAATCGTCACTTGATTAGCAATTAATAATAATTGTCAAAAACCTTAAACCTCACCATGAGGATATCTTTTTTCAAATCAATAATGTAAATGAGTTGATGGAACCGATACAACACACCTGAACTGAAAGACTGGATTTTCACATTCTCAAGTTTCTTACATGCAGCTTTTCTGCTGACGCATCTCTGACGTTCTTTCCATCGTTAATTAGAAGAAACAAGTCGTTATGCATTCTATCCATCGAAAATAATAGCCTGCCCAATATGCTGTAGATACGTAAAACTACGTCAAGAGCGTCGTTGTGACGCGATAACGGTAACGACTCTACGAAAAACACATTCAACGTTCGTTTATTTGGCTGTTTATTCGAGTTGCGATAATACTCAGAATAGGTGATATCGATAATCTGGCGTGTGTTCAATGACTCCTCGATACGTCATCCACACTTACAAAACCTTTTACTATTCAACCGTACATTCAATAAATCCTAAGATAATTCGTGAAAAAATTTGCCTGCTGAAAAATTTCACTCAATAGTTTGGTTGCCAATGGAAAAATGAATCATAGAAGGTGGAGTGACTCATGAAGTATTTAAACTGCGTAATTGAGATGCCTTGAAATAATGAACCGCTTTTCATTTCTCAAATTGTTCTCTTCCGTTCCCCAGAATATGTAACCAATTCAAAAAAATGACTCTAAAGGTGAGGAAAATCCGCCCTTTTGGTTCTGCTTCACGGTCATTTCTGTGGTCCTTTCGAAAAATTATGAAAGAAGTGTTTTTCTGTGGGAAACTTTCAGAGTGAAGTTTTGTTATTTGAAACTTTTTAAGCGGTTAGTGGTCTCAAAGAATTCAGAGAACATGAAATTTCATCACCGGTAATTACTGATATGCTGAAATTAGGACTTGATGAAAAAATGAAACTAGTAGGAGTTGCGTGTCTATTAAGTAATGGTAATGAGAGCTGTGGTAAATAGCTAAATCAAGAATTAATAATGACGTGATGGAGAATGGAAACAGTAATGAAAACCTTTGAAAATTTAAGACATTTGTATAATCTGAATATAGGAAATATTTTTTTCTAATGTTAAATTTCAGATATAAAATATTGAAGAAATGTTTAATACGAACGAAAATAGAGTTTATTTAAGAAAAGGCAATTCTTCAACTTATCCTGTACTTCTAAAATTAACAGCGTGAATCAGGCGAGCAAGATGTTATCAATTATGTCCATTCATGAATGGTAAAGATAAATGTGAAAGGAAAATATTTCAAATTCTGGATAAAAGTCAAGGAGTGCTTTATTTAATTTATAGTTGATGAATTATATGATTATGTATATTATATAAATAAAGTCGGCGTAAAAAAGGGTACCGATTTAATATCATTTAGCGGAAAGCATAAAGAAAATCAAAGTCATTTTCCTCAACCATTATTAATGAAAACAAGGAAAGAAAAAGTAGAAATCTTAATACGCGAATAAAACTAACAGGAAAAATCAGAACAAAAACTATATCTCCAACCCGATCGACAAAAAAAAACATTTTCTGAAACTCGACGTTTCAACGCCAACAATAATTCCCATAAAAAACGAAAATTTATCTGAGATGCAGTAACTAATTAATGTTAATTAAAAAAGATGCCGAGTGAGATATAAAAAGTTGTAATGAAAGGTAAGAAAGAAGAGGAAATCCTACAAATAGCGATAGTCATTCTGAGATGGCCAAAAACCGTCAACTACATATCCTAAAGAATTAATGAGCCAAGCTTTAGCCATCAGATCAGTGTCCCCCACGAGGCATGGAAAAATGTTTCAACTTCTCATTCCTGTTAGCCGAAGTCGAGCTTATTATACGTGACGCGGTATGTCCAGAGTAGCATGAGAGCTCCTTTTTTTCCTTGGGTTGTGTTGCTGACTTCTCTCTTCTGGCAGTGTAACGCTGGATAGATGTGTGTGGGCCGGTTTGAGGGTCCGCGCGCAGCGTGAGAGTGGAATGCGGGGATGCATAGCTTCGACGACGTCCTCCCTCATACACTCCACAGAAAGAGAACAACACTCCACTCTTCACTATCCCCACGTAATTCTCCATTCAAATCCTCATCATTTTCCATTCCAATCTAATCTCTAAAAAGTAGATGAACA